CAGGGAATTCCCCTCAGATGTTTAAACCGTCTGCAAACTCCGCGATGGGCTATCCTAAGAAGGTACTCCACTGCTAGGGCAAGGAATTTTTGCATTTCCCGACCAGCAAAATCTGATCATTTGTATGGTCCAGTGACTGTTGTGTGTTTCCTTTGCTTTCCTTTTCCCAAGGCAGTTTTCATCAACGTTATCCTGTATATACCTCACTGCTGTGTACTTATCAGGTTGTGGGTAGGAAAGACAGATAATGTCTCTTTAGTTTATAGGATATCAGATCACAGAGATTCAAATATGAACATGATAAGCATCGCCAAAGATTTTGATATTTGAGCTGGATGCAGTAAATGATCAGGTCTCAGATTCTCTCCCCTTTGACAGGGATGTGTTCCTGTGTGAGGAGGACAGGAATGGAAATTTGCATGACCAAAGGGATGGACAGTTGCACAACGCTAGCTGTCTCCCAATATCCATTCTTTGCTTCTATATTAATTGAAATTTCAAGTGGCCCATGGCTGCCCACCTAAAGACAACATTTCTTCACTTTCTCTGTACCTATTCTGTCCAAGTAAGGATCCAGCCACAGTTAGTAAGTACAAACAATACATGCGACTCCAAGTCCCTTAAGGGAAAGGAAGTGTCCTCTGTTCTTTTCTTCCTCTCCTGGTGGCTTGAACAGACATACTGATAGGACCTGGAGCAGGACCCTAGTGGGTAATATGTAACGTAATTGGCTCTTTCACATACATTACTTTATTTACCCTGTAAGGAAAGTATTATCATTTTATTTTATACCTTAGAAAATGGATTAACACAGCCAGCCAGGGGCAGACTCAGCATCCCCAGGGGTATAGTTTTCACTGGAACACTGGATAGAGTAATCGGGCACAACTCCATTTTTAGAGTGCATTAGAAATAATTGGTTTAGAATTCTACAAGCTGATGTCTACAGCACGTAAAATTCCTTAAGAACATTTTTTAATCATAGAAATTGAAATGCAAAATTTGTGCTTCATTTATTCATTCATTCATTCATTCACAAAATAAGCATTTGTTGAAACACTAAATAGTTAGCACATTTTGGCACTATTTGGCTTGAAATTATAATTTTCTCTGTTTTTTAATTGTTTTGTAGAACTGTAGTCTTAAGTAAAAGCTACAAAGGAAAAATGAAGTATCACGTATTTACTCTAGGGACTTAAGAGGTGGTTCCTGGCCACAAATGTCAAGGAAATGTAATTATTTCATCTCATTCTTCAAATTTTCAGTCAATCTTTTTTTCCCCTGTATACCTTATTATATACAGAATATTGAAATATAACAAATGATTTTCTAATTTTTTTATCCTTCCTTGGTACATTGTCATGAAAACCTCAAGAGAACTTAGTGAATGAATCAATTATAGAAATTTCAAAACACTATCTTTCCCATATTTTCCATTTATTGTTTATTTCTGAAGGATTGAAATTTTCTTAACTTATGCTAGACCTTTCCAATTTTTTGAACAAGAATCTAAATCCATTTACAATCCACTGTCTTTTTGTTTTTTCACACACACAGTACAAAAAATTGAGACTCACCGTGGGGAGCCCCGCAAGACACCAATTGATGGATCACACACACTTTCCCTGGACTCTTACTCTTTCCATTTTCAGTATCACATATTTGACTTTTCCTTTCCCCCCTACAAAGTGACTTGTTATTCCTCACGGAGACCCTCATGCATCAATTGCCACGGTAAAACCCTCACACCCTATTACCTCATCTGAATAGTTCAGATACAAGAAGAAAGATCTACTACCTTCATCTTCATCCTCCATTTGGGCTTTGGCCTCTCTTGAATACATGGCCCTTCGGAGAGTTTTCCTCTCTAAAGTTGTCTGGTCGGCTTCCATGTCCTACAGTAGACATGATGCTGTCATTCAAGGAGCTCACAGCCATAAGAAGGTTTTGACTTACCCATGAATGACCCACAAGTACAAATGGTTAGTTACCTTTACCAGTCTCAAGGGCTCTCTGCTCACTGTGGAGATCCACAACTCTTGTCTCAGGAGCAGTTGTGGGAGCAATGACTTAGATCTGTAGTAAGTAGCATGGCGTTCAGAGGCATAGGGCAGTATGAGGCCAGGAAAAGCGGTGACAACGAGATGGACCCGAGCCCAGGAGCAGAGAGATAGATCCTTGAACCCTAACACATAGTTCCACCTGCTACTTGTTTTATTTTTACATCACGTTCAGACATTCACCGTGATTTTTCTAACTTAGGGATTCATTCCTGTTAATAAATGTTAACAATGTACATAGTTCTAGGTTGGTTAAACTGCTATCCTCCATCCACTATTATGAATTATTAAATCAGAATGAGTTTCTTTAGCATCTCACTAAGGGAGGTACACAAAAGAAAGGGACTTCAATAGGATCTGAAGGAATGTAGGTACTTTTGAAAGAAATAGGCCATGAGGGGACTTAGGTGCCTAACAGTTTAGAAGAAATATGCAGAAAGAGAAGGGAAAGGTGCCCAGAAACAAACTTTGCAAATTTTTAGGGGTTGCTGAAAACTTGTCCTGTGCCCAAGAAAGGGAGAAGCATTTTGTTTTCTCCATGCCCTGGCTTCCAATACCCCAGCTCCCCCAACCTCAAGACTAGAGTAGTAATATCAGTTTGATTACATTGCAGGTTAAATCAGGTTATACAGATCAGTCTGGAAAATTAACCACAATCCTATTTCTGTGGGGGAATGCATTCTGAGTTTCAAACAACTGACCCACAAACATTTGGAATCTACAGTAAATTGGGGGCTTCTTGTATATGCCAATACAAAGAAAAAAACCCACACAATTTGATGGTTACATCAATAAACCAATAAACAAACCAATAAACCTTTGGTGGTCAGTCCCTAGGTGGTGACCTTGGTTTTTCTCTTTTTTCTGGACCCCGTACAACATGTATGATTTAGGAAACTTGCTATTCTAGAAGGCTTTATTGCTTCCAGATTCTTGATTAAAAAGAATAAAAACAAAAATGTCTTCTAAATATCACTTTTACAGAGGCAATTTGACATCAGCCTTTAATTTTGCCTAAAGATATGAAAACCAACATTTGTAAATGAGGCTAAATAAAACACAAAATTAAGCATCCCTATCCTTTGTGTATCATATAATGGAACTAAATAAACCTACACACTGAAAATAGATTTAGCTTTGATTCACTCCCCATGCTGTGTAAGCAAAAGATTTAACATCTCAGAGACTTAAAAAACAAACAAAAAACAACCTTTAAAGCAATTTTTCTTAAGCAAATGCTCATATTAAGGTCACTATAGGTTAAATATTTTAAATTGTGTTGATGTTTGGATTAAGTAAATACAAATTTAGTTTCATTTATCCTACAAATATTCACTGGGCCAGGCCAATGTGAAGACAGGGGCAGGGGAGTGGGGAGCGTCAAATGATACTAGCGTATTTTGCTTATAATATAAAGATAATGGTTGCTGCCATCCAAACTAGAATTTCCGATAATATTTAAGTTAGCTAAACATGTCATCTCCTTCTCCTTCTTTGTAGTTTTCCTTACTAACATTTTATCATATTCTTTCCCATCGTCTACCCCTTGATGCTTACACTGACAATCCTTTCTAAAGCCCTGCACTGGGTTTTGTGTGTCCTTTGGTTTCACCTTCCTTCTCCACTTGCTTGATCTGCTCTGGCTCTAGGCCAGGCTTTCTCAACCTTGGCACTGACATTTCAACTGAACAACTTCTTGTTGTGGGGTCTGCCCTGTGCGCTGCAGAATGCTGAGTAGCACCCCAGTGTTCTACCCACTAGATGTTAATAGCATCCCCCCGCCCCAGTTGTGACAACGAAAAATGTCTCCAGATGTTGCCAAATGTCCTCTAGAGGGCAAAATTGGCCCTGGCTGATAGGTAAACACCCCGTCCTGTCATATAACAGACTAAACAGAGAGCTGTTTGGACAAAAAACTTCTCCAAAGTATTCTAGTGTTCTTATTCTCTGCAGTGTGATTCTCTCTGGCTCCACATGAATTCAGGTGCCTGTCCTTTGCAACGTGGCAATAATCTCTTCCATCCCCAGATGAGGTTTCTGGGCAGGTGCTTGATTCATTCTGGCTTCTACTGGCCACCATTCCACCTCACAACTGGATTTCCCTGTCCAGAACCTGACATGCTCCGTATCTCTTTCAGTTGATATATAACCGTGTAATGTGTCTTTAATTATAGAGCTATGCTATCTCAAGTGATCACTTCATTTCTAAATACAACTTAATGGACTTTCTTCCTGGCTTGCTTAGCAGTATTACTATAACATCCAGCCAACAGCTCTCATTTTTTTCCAGATCTCCTTTCCAAAGTAAACCATAAATTGTCCCACTCCTTAAGCTTACATCATATTCTTTTGTCCCTGGCATTCAGATCACTGAAAAAAATGTCATTTGGAACTATCCCCAGTATGTTTATAATCAACCTTCCCACAGCACAATTCCTAAGTGGGCACTTGTTGACTATACCTTGTAATGTTTTTGGTTTTTTTTTTTTGGCAATTATCCTCATTTCAATGGTTCTGTGATTTGTCCTATTCTACTTCTAGATTTTTACATATATCTTTTCTTCCTTATGTGGTTTGCTTTTGAGATCTTCAGCACATCTGCAGCAGATAGAGAAATCATAGGATTTGACTGACTTTTTAATCTCCCTTTCACTATGGAAACAGAACCTTTTTCCCCTTCTAAAATAATACATTTTAATTTTCTGATATTTTTTAGAAATCTGCTGATATAAATATTTTATTTTATAATGCTCATTCCTGGCCAGGAATATCAAATTCTGGACACTTCCTACTTCCAATGCAAGAGCAAAACATTTTAAAAATTTGAGAATTTAATGTGTAATTTCACCTTTCAACTATAAGTTGTTCCTCTTTCATTGTACTCAGTCTGGTTTCTAACTCTGTTATCACCTCATTCAATGTTATACTTACATCATCCATAGCATTATATTGGAATGCACCTGGGTTTAAATCCCACTGGTCTCACTTATTATATATACTGTACAACTTTAAGCAAGTTACTTAACCTCTCTTAGCCTCAGTTTTTTTCATCTGTAAAAGTAAGATAATATTTTCTTTGCTTATTTCTCAAGAGTTTTGGGAGAATTAAAATAGATCATGTAAAAAAAAGGCTTTGTGGACTTGAAAAAACTATGCAAATGCAAAATTTTATTTTTATTTCCTTCTGATCACCTCTCTTCACCCCCCAACTATGTCCCAGACATGCCTTGCAACTTTGCCCACCACTCACAGTTCTTCCTTCTTTCAAAGTCATCTTGACTTTTGACTTGCCCATGACCCTCTCTTTGTAGGTGGTGAGTGAAAATATTCTCATATTACAGATGAGAAAAATAAGGTACAAATAAGGAAAAATAAGACAAAACAAAGAAATGTCATGCTTCAGTAGGTAGTTTGTCTAGGTTTGAAACAAACATATAATTGCAATATGGTTCAAATTCAAGTAAAAATCCTCTAATAACCTGACAGCACTTCATGTAAAAGATAGCATTGGAATTTTATAGGTTCAGAGTAACCTGTTCATTAATGATGTATAAAGATATAATTACTCTAGATTTCAAACAAGGACTATTATGTTATCAAGCATTAAATTGTAATACTTCTTTAAAAACACTCTTAGTAATTACACAGTACATTTCTGAGCTGGACTCTGAACTCCTCTGAACTATAAGCAATTACCTTTTCTAATTCTTGATCTTGCCGATTCATAAGTGTTTTCCAGTGTTCATAAAGCTCAACGTCTTTGGTCTGAATGTCCTTCAAAGTCCCTTCTCTTAGTACACTTCCATCTTTCATAGCTATAATCTAAGGAAAGCAGATATTAGTAGAAATGTGACAAAAAGCCTTAACTGGCCAAATGAATTACCTTTATTTCAGAAAGAATTTCTTCTATTGTTTTTTCTTTTTATACTGTGTTGAGAAAGAGTTTCTTAATGTCTCTATTTATATGACTATAATATAAAAATTAACAAAACTCTCTTCTAAACTCTTACCCAGTCAGCATGTGTCAGATATTGTAATTTGTGAGTCACAAGAACGAGTGTCCTTTTGTCATCTTGGAGAAATTTCAAAATCCCTTCCTGCATTAAGTGATCACTCAAGTGAATGTCCAGGGCAGAGAACGGATCATCCTGCAATCAGTAAAATGAAGGAAAGATGGGCACTTTCTATACCCTTTATGTAACTTAATTCCTCTAAAAAGTAGAGACA